CCTCTCCTTCTCTCTCTCTCTCCAGTCCGGTCTGCCTGCCTGCCCGTCTATCTATCTATCTTTTTTAGAATGAAAGAAATGATCAGAAGATATTTCAAGACACACAGCATCTTAAATCACAAAGAAAATTAGCTAAAAATAGAAAATAAGCATAAATGATTAAAATCATCATTGATTTAATGGCAATGTACGTGTAATATGGCAGGCAGTGAAAAGGTCCAGATATGGAACTCCGTGAAAAAAAGAATCTGAAATGAACAAGATAGATTAATTTTAAGCAATTGCAACCACCTTTTTTACTTCATTCCACATATCTTTTGCTGTAATTCCCTGGGAGTCTCCAGATATCACAAAGAAAGGGCACTCAGAGACGTGAACTGTATCATTTGCCTCTGCTGCAATTGCAAAAGTTACAGAAGGCCGTTCTTTGGAAGTCCTGCATTCACAGATGGTAATCCAATTTTCAAGAACCCCGTAATCTTTTGTTCAAGTGTGAAAATTTTCCTAACCAAGTTTCTCATTTTTTTTTCCGTTCATTTTTCCTGTAACAAGAAGATGAAACTTACATGTGGTGCAAGAGTACGCCTTGGACTCCATCTTCCATTCTAAAATTCATCATCAAAGAACAAATCATCATCAAAAACCAAAAGAAGATTTTTTAAAGAAAATATTAAACATTTTCTTTTGTGGATGGGAAGTGTTTCTCTAGAATAGCAAGTCAATATTTCCAAGAACATAGTTAGTTCTCCATTTCCTGTTATTTTTGTGTTAGGTTAATTGGCACATATTTCAAGAATAAAGCTTAAAGTTGTAAGTGAAATGCCCGTAAAGCTAGAGCAAGATCGACGAGTGAAGTGTGTCCCTTATACACTGTCCCACATCGAATTACCTGTAAGGATTTGGCAGGATCTTTCAGGGCAGACTTCAAAATGTCTTAGCTTTTGTAAAATAGGGAATATGTTAGGACCGCAAGCTACTTTTTGACTTTTCACGGACAAAATGAAGGATGAAGCCATACTGAGAAATGTAAAAGCAAGTCCGTCTAACCATTTATGCATGAATTGTGGGCCAAAGGTTTCAGTTTTAGGAAAAATTAGGGGAGATCTCAGAAAAGAAGGCGCACATCTACTTTAGGACATGGCAAAACTGATAGGCAATGTATTACGTTCAGAAAATAGTACTCTGTAAAGTTTCAGCTTTAGAAAAGCAGGCAATGTCTACTGATGACAAAAAAGAAAGTACAATAAAGTATTGGGACTTAAAGACTAAGTCATAACCTTGCTAAAAGTGATCTGACCTAAACTTTGAATTGAAATGATGGCCAGAAATTCCAGAATCTCCACCAGCAGAATTCTGGGAACACAAAAAAGAAAGATGAAAAAAAAATGGTTTACAACTATCTTCCCATTCTTAAGAATGAGTAAATACAACAATTACCAAAGAAGGAAACAGAAGCATTAGCATTCATAATCTAAATACTGAGTAAATCAAAGTCACGCAAGAGAACTTACTGCCCAGGTGAAAAGCAAAGTGACATCTGCAGACGTCTTTCCCAAGTTATGAACCTGAAACAAATCAAATTCAAATTGCAAAGTTAATGCTACAAAATACATCCCACCAGAAAAATGGAGGGATAAAAGAGGATTTGATATTTCCCAACCGTGAAAGTAAAGACTGCTGTAGGTAAGCTGCTCTCTTTGTAGTTGTGGGGGATAAAAGGAGAGATCTGACGGCATACTACCCTGAGTTCCGGATCAGGTTCCCCTTGATAAATATAAAAAATATAAGACAAACCTTATGAAGCACATCAAACTAGTGAATATGCTGGTCAAACATGAAATTACCTTCGTATACAGTCCACGCTCTTGGAAACAGAGCATGATATGTACAATTTTGGCCACCCAGATTCCAGTCCCAGGATCCTATTCCACAAGCTGCAGAATCACTGTTTACTCACAAACTATTAATGGACCTTACTACTGAATCTCCTCCGTAAAGATATACTCAAAATAGATACAATTTTTTTTCCTTCGACTAGTTCTTCAACATTTCCAAATAACACAACATTATCACCAAAAAAAATAAAAATAATATTGCGAGAAGCCAAGATAATAGCAAGAACTAAAACCATCTAAGAGCAAAGAGAAGAATAGCTTCTTACTTTGGAGTTCTTGGGCATAACACAGTAGAATAATTTTCACCATTTGAACGTCTAACAAATATCTGCAAAAGTTATCCATATTCAAATGAGGCCACATGCTGAAAAATAACAGCAAATAAGGTATTCCGTGCTTTTCAGTTTTAAGGACTTTCAGAATAATGATGTTTTAAGTGACAATGTTTTATTCGCAGTGACTAATATAACAGTTTTAGTTTAATAAAGGTGGCAATTAACAAGCATAGAAACTCCATGCTAGAGAAATTTCTCTTTTCTCTTGCCATCACAAAGTGAAGCTCTAATTTTCAGATTTCCTATACCTTCTTTACCATACAAAGGAATTGTACTCATATATAGAACTGTTTAACTCGTTGGTTAATTAATCTTTTTGCATGATCTTTCAAAGTTTACTATTTTTGTGTCTATGTACATTGGATCCTAGTAAAGTGGACCAAGCTAAAGGTATATTCAAGTATTTTTAGAAGCAGAAAGTGCCAAAACCGACAAGGTCCATGGGCCTTGAAGCAAAAAAGTGAAGCACACGCTTCTTTGAGTAAAACACACAAATTACAAGAAATTTTGAAAATATCAAACATCTATGAATTTAGTACAACAAAAATTAAATTTGAATTAAATAAAACAAACTTCAGTATCCAATATACAAAACTGCAAATATTAATCCAACTCCACAAAGTTGAGATTCAAAGAAGTGATTGATTCTCATTGCAATCACTTTGTGCACCATTGTTTGAAGTGCAAATGCAAACTTCTCTAATCACTTGGCTTCGCCTATGAAGCGCCTCACTTCACATTGCTTTAAGCGACAAAGCAATGGCTCTTTACCCTTCAAAAGATGACGTGCAATGTGAAGTCTATATGACAAAACAAATTCTGAACCAGTAACAATGTAAAATTGCCCAAAAGCTGCTGGGGTGTTGAAACAGAATTAACAAATATAGGAATATAAGATCAAATAAAGGTCGTCGTAGATAATCAAGGTTAGAAGCAATAAAGGTTTATGTACATATCCTAGCCAAAGTGTTCAAATGCCAAAAAATTACCTCTGGAAACAATGCACATAGCATGACATCATGCGCATGACCTATCTCAGCTATTATGTATTTGAAAGAAAAGGAAATGGCAGAATATAATTACAAGAAATGCCAGAACCTTTTGTGACCAGCATCACGCTTAAGGGATCAAGAAATATCTTGTTACAAAAATGATTGATATGCTTTATTCTCGTTATGTAGCAATGTTGCATTAATTAAAGTTGAATGTGACCTGCTCATTTGAAGTCCTCTATCAGATCTTTTCTTGTTATGTATTTGAAAGAAATGGAAATGGAAGGATACAGTTACAAAAAATGCAACCTTTTGTGAACAGCATTTCATGTAAGCCTTTCCTAAGAAATATCTTGTTTAGCGTACAAAAGTGATTGGAATGCTTTATTCTTGTAAAGTAGCAACTAGCAATATCGTATTTGAACTTCCCCATCAAATTTCTTGTTAAAGTAGATCATCTGAAGTATTGAAGGAAACAGTATGTACTTGTGAAATGCAAAGCATTGTATAGTCATACTTCATAGAACTTACAGAAAATTGGTTTGCCAGAACTGGTGTATCTTCACATATCCTAGGAAATATTTGCCAGCGCAAAAATTCACCTTTGAAGCTTCTTCCTATGCTTCCTGCACTGTATTTTTTTCCCCCTTTTATACAACACATATCAAATAATTCATTTGAACTAGCTGGAACAGATTAGCAATATATCACATATCTTCTTAATCAGTGTGCAGAAATGTAGGGTAACTAACCCCTTTTATAGTGAATAGGGAAAAGAAATTCTTGCTGATCCATCAAATGATATGAATTCATTAACATTGTAATGGGAGCAGAATACAGTGCACCGGTAACATGAAAATGTAATATAATTTTGTACGGAGAGAATGGATCATCATGCAAGCATGACGAAAATGTTAATATTTAAGATAGCAACAGTAGGTGCAGCAAATTTGTATTTTGAACAATATTCCAAGTCAAATCACGGTAAAGTCCATTAGCAGAAGATTGTAATACTACAGCAATTTCTCTTGACAAAAAAATGTTCAATATCTTGTGACATACCCCATACCACCAATAGGAACTCCTTGGCATGATGAGTAGATCCTTTTTATGAAAGGATTGATAAACAGACCATCCTGCGAGACGAAACTATAGGTGACAAATGCATCTTATAATTAGAAAGATGATACTTAAACTTGCAACAAAAGAAATCACCTTTCCCTTGGCTTTTTCTTCTTGTAGAAATCTCCACAGGCGGAAACCTAGAGGAGCCTACATGAAACAAAAAGCACCACAAGAAAACAAACAATGAGCTCAAGCTGAAAAGAGAGAAAATTTTCACAGATATCACATTACCAACTTACACCCGTGGTGCGAGCATTTTCATGTACCTATGTTATTTGATAACATGTCTAACTAGCTATAAGTTCATGCATGCACTTAAGTTACAGTTTGCTTCAGATACTTCTGTAGACAGGTATATAATCAGTCACATAAAGACATGAGTAGGATTGGCTTAGACACAAATCTAGGATTAGATCAGCAAAATTCCCACAAAGCTAAAACGGCTTTTAGCTGGCTCCGAATTTGATCTAAAGACTGGAAAACATGCTTCTTCACTGTATTCACACAAAAGCTTTATTTCTAAAATACTTCTCAATACGTTACCGCTAAAGACTTTGCTCGAGCAGTGAAACCAGGTCAGAGTTTATCCACATACCAGAGAAACCATTTCTTTCAGCTTAAGACTGAATTCTGAAAGGGAAATATCATCACAGTTTAACTTGCGCTGCCAAGTCAAAGATGGAAGTTTCACTGGATCAACCTTAACCTGGAGAAAAAGGGGGAAAAGGAAAAAATTATCAACGGTACATTGGTTAAAAGGATTATCTAAGCTAATGAACTCCATGTAGACTTACCCATCAGCCTACTTGATTTGGAATAAGTGGACAAGCTTTCTTGTACAACATAAACAAGAGATAACCAATAAAAGGGGGGGGGGTGGGGGGGAATATAATCTAAAGGAAATGGACAACAAAGATCAAAAGTATCTGTGTTCCATAAATTGCACATACTATGGAAGCATACGTTTGAGCAAACCTTATTTTGACCAATCTAGATAGGTGCTAAACAGAAAGGCTTCAAAATCACATTTTATTTTCATATTGAATACTATAAGTAGCTTCTCATGCGCAAAAGAAATGCACTAGATGAGGCAGTCATTTTCTGAATTAAAGGGCCAAAATTAAAAGGAATTTTTATAGGAAATAGTTAAAAGATAAAACATGGACAAACCCCTTGCATTATCTAAAATCAAATAAATAAGCCAAATAACTCAAAACCAAAAGGCTTAAACTGGTGTGCAGGTACACTTTCTTAAAGGAACTTGAGTAACAGAACTAAGAATGAATTCTAATCAATTATTCAAAAAATTTAATAAAGGCAAAGGCATTTAAGGTGTAATATATATCACAAGCCTATGATCACTGTAGAGTCCTGACCTCAGCAGCCAGAAACGCTATAGACCTGGGTGACAAAAGTGATAGATGTGACGACCCAAAGGGTCATCACCTGTTTCCTTATTCATTCTGTGCTTCCGAGGCCTCGAAAACCTCATTTAGAGTCGCCTCGATTTGCGTGCGCAGTCCGGGCGCGTAGCCGGAAAGCCTAAATATAAAAAGTCCGTGAAAAATGCTAAATTTTGATGTTAAAATGAATAAATTTGACTCCGGACAACATTTTGGGTAAACGGACTCGGACTCGTGATTTGACGGTCCCGGAGGGTCCGTAGGAAAATATGGGATTCGGGCGTATGCCCGGAGACGAATTCCGAGGTCCCGATCCAGAGAAATGAATTTTTTAAAGGAAATTGTTTTTCTGAAATTGTTAAGGAAAAGTGAAATGAAATTTGATTAGAACGTGTTGGTATCGGGCCCGTATTTTGGTTCCGGCGCCCGGTACAGGTCTTATATATGATTTAAGGTGTTTCTGTAAAGTTTGGTTAAAATCGGACATCATTTGACGTGTTTTGGACTTAAAGTTCTAAATTTTCAACTTGATGAAGTTTTGGAAAAATTCTTGATTTTGAGGTTTGATTCATTGTTTTTGAGATTATTTAGGCGATTTGATCGCTCGGATAAGTTCGTAAGATGTTGTTGAGTTAGTTCATGTGTTTGGTTAGGAGCCCCGAGGTAATGATGCTTGGTGGGCCGGGCCTCAACCGGACCGGGCCCGCAGTCCTAACGGGNATAAGAGGATATATATATACATAACATACAATATATACTACAAGAAAATATACAAGAGAATATACAAGAGAATATATGTACATAACATACAATATATACTACAAGAAAATATATAAGAGGATATATATATACATAACATATAATATATACTACAAGAAAATATATAAGAGGATATATATATACATAACATACAATATATACTACAAGACAATATATAAGAGAATATATATACATAACATACAATATATACTACAAGACAATATACAAGAGAATATATATACATAACATACAATATATACTACAAGAAAATATACAATGAAATATATATACATAACATTGTATACTAGTATACTATATATATATATATATGTATATATATTAATATGCTTCATGTTGTACTTTGTTATTAATTTATTATGCATGACAACTTAGTGTTTTACTATTGTTTTGTTATTTTTCTTTTTCGTCAAGCACTTTAATAATTAGATTTCTACATATATACTACATATATATTTTTAATATAGACATGATACTACAATAAATTGCCTTACAAAAAAAACNGAGTGTGTTTCGGAGTGGTCCTTGACTTAGAAAATTGCAGATTTTGCTTCAGCTGTTGCAGACCCCATTCCTTCTTCGCGTTCGCATTCCAGCCCTCGCGTTCGCGTAGTGTTATTTGACGCTGAGGGCTGAGTCTTCTTTTCCTCATTGCGTTCGCGTGCATATAATCGCGTTCGCGTGATGGCCCACGCGTTCGCATAGAACAATTTCTGGGCCACAACATTTTTACTCTCCGCGTTCGCGTTCCTCTTCTCGCGATCGCGATGGCCTGCTAAGTGTTACTCATCGCAAACGCGACCAGCCTGTCGCGAACACGATGAGTAATTTCGCCCAGTTAAATTTTAAAATTCCAGAACAGTATCATTACGGGATTCACCAAAAATTTCACAAAACCTTTCTTCTCCAAGCTCTTGGGCGACCATTGAAGCAATTCTTCATCAAAACCTCTTGGGTTAGTAATTCTTAGCTTATTTTCTTCCATTTCCTTCAACATTTATTGAAATTCTAGGCCTAAAACATGTAATTAAGGGTAGAAATTAGAGAATTTGGTAGAGTTAGGGCTTTTTGATTTTTCTTGATTTAGACCTCGTTTTGGGTCGAATTTGAAAACAAATTATATATACAGGCTCGTGGGCGAATGGGTGATATGATTTTGGTCCGAACCTCGTGTTTTGACCAAGCAGGTCCGGGGTCGATTTTTGGGATTTTGGGAAGAATGCTTGGAAAGCTATAAATAGGCATTGGGTTCGCATTGTTTAGCATTTATTGATGTATTGAAGTCATTATTGTATAGATACAATCGATTTGGAGCCGAATTCGAGAGGGAAAGCGGTAATTGAGGATTGATTTTGCCGTGGAAGTTAGAGGTGAGTGTTTGGTCTAACCTTAGCTTGAGAGATTAGGAGTTGAGTCTTATTTGCTGCGTGCTAAATGTCGAGTACGACGTATAGGCATGGTGACGAGTATCTATACGTTGGTGTCTAGCATGACCGTGAGTCTTTATATTGCGGATATTCTGATTCTGTTGTATCTTTCATGTCTTAATGATGATTTCTATATGTTGTAAAAAAAAAGCATGTGAAAGGAATTGTAATCCTTGAACTTCGAGGAGTATTGGCTCGAGTTATAATACGAGTTGTGAAAGTATATGAGATAATTGAACCCTTTGGAGCATTGGCTCAAGTGGTAAAGTGAGTTATAAAGTAAGAAGTGAAAGAAAGCGAAAGAGTTATTGAATTGTTCCCTTGCCGGGATGTTTGTCGTTTTGTTGATTATCTCCCTTGCCGGGATGTTGAGATTTATTGATATTGTTCCCTTGCCGGGATTTAGTTGTTTAATTGTATTCCCTTGCCGAGATTTAGCTGTTTAATTATATTCCCTAGCCGGGATTTCTACAATTAATTGTCTACTCCCTTGCCCCTTTGTTTGTGATTGTTGATTGGGTGAGGAAGAGTGTAAAACACGAAGGGTGATGATGTGCACTGCTTGCTATTGTGAGGAAAGAGTGTAAAGCAAAAAGGGTGATACCGTACACTGTTTGCTATTGTGAGGAAAGAGTGTAAAGCACGAAGGGTGATGTCGTGCCGTACGATGTACCATTCCGTACCGATATTCATTGACTATATTGTGAGGAAAGAGAGTAAAATCACGAAGGGTGATGTCGTGCACATTATTATGATACGATTGATTTGGTGAGGACGAGAGTAAAAGCACGAAGGGTGATGCCGTGCAAATTGTCGATTTCTGATTCTTGTTGATATTCTGGCTTTGTTGTTTCTTTCTTTTATTGAGGTTTTCCATTTGGAACTGTTACTACCCCCACAACATGTTTCCCATTCCCATATTGACTGGTTACTTCCTGTATTTCTTTTCCGATATATATGTATATTTGAACTGCACAGGTTTATTTGGTAGTCTGGTCCTAGCCTCGTCACTACTGCGCCGGGGTTAGGCTAGGCACTTACCAGCACATGGGGTCGGTTGTGCTGATACTACACTCTGTGCTATTTTGCATAGATCCAGGTATTGGACAGCAGCAGTAGCGCGAGAGCCAACCTTCAGTCCACCGAGACACCGAGGTAGCCTTGCAGGCGTCCGCAGGCCCGGCGTCTCATCTATCTTTATTTCATTCTGTTATATCATGTATTCGAGACAAACAATTTATATTTCTATCAAACGGTTGTATTTAGTACTCTTAGTAGTTCGTGAATGATGTGACACCAGTTCTTGGGTAGAGGCTTATGTTGATTTCCGCATTATTGTTCAGTTTCTTTAATTTAAGTCTCCCGCTTATTTATTTAATTCCGTTGTTTTCATGCTATTACTGATAATGGTTAAAGGAAGTAAATTGGTTAACGAAAAAGGTAGTTAAGGGTTGGCTTGCCTAGCTCTCATCAGTAGGCGCCATCACGACTCCCGAGGGTGGGAAATCCGGGTCGTGACAATAGATAACAACAACAATAATAACAAACCCAATGTAATCCCACAAAAGTGATAGATAATAAACATAAACAGAAATTTGTAATCAAATAGTTCACACAGAGTACATTCTCATCAAAATTGATTGTCTAGATACATAAAACTGAAATCGACAAAGCTCATAAGATCTTTTCTTTTCTAACCAACTCATAAACAACACTCAGACTCTTAACTAAATATTTTCTTCTCATCCAGTATAACTCTTTCGAACTATTTATCCAGTAATAACATAATACACTTTGCTTACATGGTTTTTGGCCACTGTCAAAAGTTAATAGACGATGGTTCTTGTTATAATCATGAATAAGAGCAAATAAAGGATACAGGCCTTTACTGTTAAGTGCTTTGCATGAGGGACCTAATGAAGGTGCCACAATTGTGTATTGCTGCACCTAAAGTATATGTGGCCCATCGATTTTCTCATGCCATCACAGTTAATTGGAGAAAAGAGAAAGAAGCAACAACAAACAAAGAAAAGCTCCTCAGAGCGCACACTATAGTAGGGAAAGCAAGCAGAGTACCTCCCCATGTTTGCGAAATTCTCCTTCTCCTTCATCAAATCCATCAATCAACATATCTCCTGTGTTGAACCAATAAATATGGCGTCAGTTATATTCAAAGCATCAAGGCCCCTAATTCTCTCCTCTCAATTTCCATTACAGAAAGAAGCAAGGTTCAAATAATTCCATAGAAAAATACATATATCAACAAGACCCAGGTTTATCATCATTCTCTGTCTTGTCATCAACCGACAAGTTGGAAGCAATTTTTCATACTTCACCAGTAGAAGAAAGTCTCAAATTTAGGCTATATGGCCAAAGCTTTATGCACATCAGCTGTTTGAAAGTCTGACAAGTTTCAAACCTCACCACTAGAATCTAGTCCACAAGGAGAACGATCTATCAGCTGGTTGAAAAGTCTAGCATGTTTCACACTTCACCAGTAGAAGAAAGTCTTTAATTTAGTCTATATAAAATCAACAGACTAACGTATTTCCCTATTCTCTAGAAAAAGAAAGTCTCTAATCTAGTCTATATGGTCAAAAACTAATGCACCATCAACTTCCCAAAAGTCTAACAAGTTTTACTTAATAAGTCTAACATGTTTAGCTCTTCTTTCTTTTTCTCTTCTGAAAATAAAAGGTAAGAACAATATATGCTAATAAGCTAGCCCAATATTTTCTAAGCCAAAAAAAAGGACTATTCCATCATTAACAAAATCAGAAAAAAAAAGTTCTTAAGCTTCTCCCACTACTATGGTGAAATGCCTTACTCAAGAATGTAAAGTAGTACACGTGTCACCATTTGTGACAGAACGCAACGAGTAAAGCAATAAGTTACAGAATTGAAACTGTCCCAGAAGCCCCCAGGGCCTAGTTCAAGTGGCAAAGGGTGGTGGATTTGTGACTTAGGTCACAGGTTCAAGGCCCCACACCATGCAAAGCAAAGCCTGGTATTTAAGTGGAGAAGGGTAGAGGGGCGGGCCCATTATCCACCGAGTTTCGAAAGCAGCGGTTGGTCCAAAGGATCGGCCCCAGACGGATTTCACGGTCATAAAAAAAAAAAGCAATAAGTTACAGAATTGAAACTATCCCTGCAGTCCATTTCCAGCATAATTTTCTAGAGTTATAAAGTATATAAGCTTGCAGCTGAAGCAACTACTGCTATGCAGAATTGCAGATAGCTAACAAGGCGAGAACGCTAAAGATAAGCACATCCCCAGTAGGGAGCTGCAAACAAAACCACCCATACTCGCATTTTCTCCCTTCACGTGTAATCCCTCTATCCCGTGCTTATGTCCCTATTTTCGCTGGGCATGTTTAGTTTAATATATGTATTAGTTTAAGGAAAAGTGGATATAATAGTTAATAGCTACTTCTGAATGATTTTGCGATTTCTAATACTTTGGCAAAAACATAATCTGGTCCAATTCAATTGGAATCATATAATATTGAAAAAGCGATGAATAACGGACTATTGAAACAAAGTGAAAATCATCTTGGAACAATTCATGGAAAAAGTAAGACAATCTATTGGCTGGAGTCAGACTGCATGCTTTTCATAAAAATCACAAAGCTAAGCCTCACTGGATTTCTTTCCCTTTTTCTCTTTTTTTGTTTTTTTAGAATGAAAAAAAAAAAGCCTTACTGAATTTCTCCCTAAGCTTATGTATTCCCACTAAGTGTTGTTTAGTAGAAAGGAAATCTTGCCAATCTAGGTATACAACCAGAGTGATATTAATGATGCTACTGCTGTTGTATTTATCAGAGCAATTATATTTTCGAAATACAAGATTTATAGCATTTGCAACTGTCCAGTTTTAGATGAATTGCTCAAAAGCAACCTGTTCACCCTGCTCCCTGCCCCTGGATATTTACCTCGCTAACGGAAATACTGATTTACATTGTTGCAAGACAATGTTTCAATATACCAGGAAAAGTATTTGATTTTAATGTCAACTAAATTCTAGTCTGCTCTTCTACATGATTCTGATATCCTAAAAGCACTTATTATTCCTAGTCCAAAATATGGCTTATCTCGCGTATGAAGTGCTCCCCGACTAGGGAGCTAGAAGAGAGTGGACACATACCCTATACAGCCTTTCCTTGCATTTATGCAAAGAGACTGCTTCCACACAGACATCACCAAAATGGTCTAGAAACAGTGCACTCAGTTAAAACAATATTTGACGACCGGCAATCCAACAAGAAAAGTTCCAATTTTTATGACGATCAGAAATGTCAGTATTTTTTTTTTTTTATTTGCACTGGGTGTCCGAG